CGCGCATTCGTCGTCGCTCTGCTCCTCCTCATGCTTGTTCTCTCTTGCTATCTAAGCAGTATGCTAGTGGGAGGCAAATTGGGCACAAGTATGATAACAATAGGATTACGCTATGTGAAAAATTTTTGATACACAGGATAACCTTCTGAACGCATTTGGGCTCTTTTGTGCCAAAAACTCGAGTTCCTTAAGATCACAAGAATGATAACAATGGATTTACGCTATGTGAATAATTTTTAATATCCAGGATAACCTTCTGGACGCATTTAACCCGGCTACTTGAATTTGTGCCAAAAAGCCTATTTTACAACTACTAATGCATGCAAAGGGTTTTGTATATGGTAACTTAAGACAAGTCAATATTCTTAGGCAAAAATATAATGGAAATATTGTACTTATTAATTTTGATTAGACTAGTAGAATTAATGAAGCTAAATATCTTTTATATATGAACCCTAATTTTCTTCACCATCCTGATGCAACATATTTAGAAGAAATTACTACGGAACATGATTTGTGGATGGTAGAACATCTTTTTTCAAAAATAAAGGCTTTCATACAATAGAATAATGTTGTTAATTGTTTCTTTTATAATTCAGTTCTCATTTGATAGTAAATAAAGTTTACCTCTTGTATTGTATTGCAGTAATTATGATAGTGAAATGTTTTTGTCATAAACTGATACTGTGTAATATATCAATATATTGATACACTTGACAGACTGTCAACCTAGAAATATAAATATACTAGAATAGAATTATCATGATAGAATCATTAATATAATATCCATCGATTTATCTAATTAACACAGATTACTTATATTATGCATAAAAACAATAAAATTTATATATAAGATTACCTGTATATGAAAAATAGCAAATATAGTGATTCAACTGAATATAAAAAGGCAATCTGTTTTTTGGAGATAGGTTGTAATTATAGTTGTTTGAAAAAGATTTCAAGAAAAGGTTTATTAAATTACGTGAAGCGTTTTAAGCTTTCTCTAAATCAGAACAAGATATATTTTTAATGGTCCAGTTGAAAGCAATAAATGGTATAATATCACGCATTCATAGTAATATCAAATGAGTGCTATGATAAAAAACTAAAATAACTATTGATATAACTGTTGCTACTGCTGTAAAGAATTTTTTCAAAAACTATGTGGAAATTTATGGACTACCAAGTCCTGGTAGAAATATTAATCACATTACTCAATCGCTTACACTTTTGCCAACTGAAATAAGTTACAAGTTAGTCTATCGTGATTTTATTGCAGGTCTCAAAAATGATAGCACGTTAAATTGTTAAAATATGATACGTTTTGCAAATTATGACACCAATTAACATCTTATATTCAAATCATGAGTCTAAGAATGGATTTATATGATACATGCTAATATTTTCAGAATGGCTTACAGTATAATACTCGTAAGGAAGAAGAAGCAAGAGATTTACTGAAAAATACAAAGAGCATTTAATTAAGGCTAAATTAGAAAGAAATTATTATAACAAAAATATGAAACTAACAGAATAACAGAAAAAATTGGTAGATAAGCATTTTAGAATAAGAGGTAAAGCTAATTATTGTAGCATTGACGCTATTGCCCATTACAGTTATAATTGAGCCCAAAATGTTCATGTTTTCTATTCTGATCAATAGGTAAGTAAAGTTTATTATCTCAGTCTGCATAAAGTGCATTTATTTGGCATTCAAGATGAAGCAATACACGAACAAATTAATTACGTTCTTGATAAAGATGAAGTTATTGACAAAGACCCTAATAGTACGCTAAGCATGGTATTTGATAGAATTAAGAGATTGAATAAAGGTGAAAAAAAATTAAAAATTACTTGTGACAATGCGGGTGGTCAGAATAAAAATAATACGACTGTTTGATTTTATTTAAATCTGATAATTTGTAGTTATTATGAAAGTATTGAATTAAATTTTATGATACCTGGATATACTAAATTCAAGTGTGATGATAATTTTAGATTGATTAAGAAACTATATCGCAAAACAACTGTAGATTGCATAGATCATATTGTTGAGGTTGTGAAAAAATTGAGTACAGTAGGATTAAACAAAGTTCATTGTTATGACAATGGGAAAGGTTTTTAGTACTTAGATCTTAATTTTGTGCTGGGGATTTTCTTTAAGAAATTGAACGGTTTGCAAAAGTATCAACATTTTCTATTTAAAGTAACCAATCCTGAAATTGTCAAAGTCTAGCTGGTGCTAATGGTATTTTTACTGAATTTAATTTATTGAAAACTAAAAAAGCAAGTATTACCAAAGAAATTAAATCTTTTTCTATTCTAGTACTAACTCCTTCTCCTTTGGATTATAAAAGACAAGAATATCTTTATCATAATATCTGACTATTTATTAGAGATGAATTTAAAGATCTTACTTATTTACAACCAATTTATACTGGCAATTAATAAAATATTTAGACTAAAATCCTCTCCATAACTTCAATTTTCCCACTACCATTAAGTTCTCTATCTAAATTTTCAACAACTCCTGTTAGCTTTTTTGACTTTTAATTCTTAAAACTTAAGTAAAAAGAAATATTAAAATAATTATATACTTAATATACCCTCATAAAAAAGATATAAGTATATTAAATAAATAAAAAAAAAGTATGATAAATATTATAAATAAACTCAAACAGAAAAATAAAATCTATTTGAAGAAAATGAAATATTAAAAAAGTAACTAGTTAATAAAAAAGAAATTAGCAAACTAAAAATTTATAATGCTATTCATAATGTGATGGAAAATGAAAGTTCAGAAATTGTTAGCACTTTAATGATTTTACAAAAATATTTTTAAGCTTAAAATGAGTGGGTAAAAATTCAAAAAGAAAGTAAAGTTGAGCAAATTAATTTTGATAATAAATTTACTCTTGAAAATATTATTAAAGATTTTATAAAGTGAATATTACTTAGTTATAATTCTCTTAGTTATGTCTCTGAACAAAATAAAAAACTTGAAGAAAAGAATGCTATTTTAGAAGTAAAGGTTGTAAAATTAGAGAAAAAAAATACTGAGTTAGATAAAACTAACCAAATGTTAGAAGAAGTATTAGAATTAGAGAAAGAAACATCTGAGTATCATTTAGAAGCTTTTGAAGTAGCTAGACAGTAAAGAATAAGACAAAGCAAAGAAAAAGATAACATGTTAAAAAAAACTTCAAGGTAAATAGAATGGCAGAAATATTTATCTAGCAAGCAACTTCAAGACCTATTATCTTTACCAAAGAAAGAAAGAAAATTCAAACTCCTAACCAATAAACTAAAGAATAGAATTAAGTAAGCAAAAGAAATAATTTGAGAAAAATTCAACACCTATATTTTACAAAAGGTTAAATAGCATAAAATTGAAATATCAAGTTATTGAGTTAAGGAGAGGAGATAAATGGCATTGTAGTTTTTGCCCTTTTAAAGAGAAAGGAGTTTAACTGCTACTTACAAAATAATATCTTACAATACAAGCAATAATAATTACAATAATATTGCTTATATTTGTATTGAATGTAAAAAAGTTTTTGATAAGAATACTCTACTATATTGTAATAATTATGATCAAGTCATGAGAAATAGAATAGACTGCTTTTGTGATTTAAGAAAAGATATATCAGTTAAAACTCCAATAATAATAGAGATAATGACCTAAAGTTATGTTAGCAGATTGGAATAGCAAAATAAAGACTTGAAACAGCAACTAGCAAGTGTAAAAGAGGAAATTACTGCTCATCTGAAAGCCTTAGAAGTTTCAAAATATTGACATAATAAGCAGAAATAGGAATTATTAAATAAAATTCAAAGACTTGAAAATGAGATTGAATTCTTAAGAAAACAATAAACCCAATATATTGCTCAAATTGAGGTTAAAGAAAATAAAAGATGACTTTGATTAAAGTTAAGAAAGTAATTATTCTTTTTTTATAATGCTTCTAATGGTGTTGTAATTTATAATTCTTTAGTTCTGTAGTAGATTTAATGTAAATTAGTTTTATATTTATATTTTTATATGAAGATAATCCTATATGGAATGTGTTATAATTGTTACTAAACAACTGTGCAGTTTCAATTAAAATAAGTTAAATTTCTGTCATGTGTTTCACAACAAATCTAAGATAGTCTACAAATTATGTTTGCGATAAGTCATAGTTGTGCTACTAAAGCAAAGCCTTTTCAAATGTTACACTGATTTTTTAGTCACATTAGCCTCTTATTTATGTCACATATAAATGTTCACTTTGTTTGGTTTTGTTTCAGTCTGCCTTATATAATATAATAACAAAAGGAAAGTTTATAGATTATATTTTTTTTTTATTTATTGATTATTTATAATATTGAATTATATTATTTAAATATCAATAAAATATATATTATAAAATTAAAAAAAATATTTATAAATAATTTAATTTATTATTATAATTTAAAAATAAATAAGCTTACAATTTTTTAAAAGTAATAAATTTCTTTATTAATTATAATTAAATAATTTGAAATTAAGAAACCATTATAAATTTTTAGTAAAATAGCATAATTTTATGTTATTAAATGGTATTTTAATGAAGTAAAGTTAGATATTCAGTAAAATTTTAATAAAAATATAAATAAAATTTTTTAGTTATAATATAAATATAATTTGATAATTTATAATATAATATATCATATTTAGGAGTTATACAAAATATAATATATTAAAAATATTTCTTAATCATATAGATTTTTATTTGTAAATAAGTTAAATAAATAAAAATAAATATAATTTTAAATTTATAGTCAACTTTTTCTAAATACACCCCTTCAGGATCATAGTGAAAATTTTAAAAAATGTGTATTTAAAAAGGGTATGCATTTAAAGAGAAATTTTCTATATGAATTCTATATATTTAGAACTAAATAAGAACATGCATTTAGAGAGAAAATATATAGTATATGCATTTAGAGAGGATGCATTTGGAGAGAGTTGATTGTATATTTAAACTTTAAGTAAAATATTCATCTGATAATAAAATATTTAATATTAAATTTTTATAATTATTAGCTAAATATTTTTTAAGATATTAAGCAAAATATAAGTTAAATTAATATTCATTTTATTTAAAAATAAGTTAAATTATTTTTGATTAATATTTCAGTAAATATTTAGCTAAAAATAATTATTAAATATATTATAATAAGTAAATATTTATATTTAAATTTGAATATATATTTAAAATTTAAATTTTTTTTAAAATTATTTATTAATAATTTAAAATATAAGAATAATTTAAAATACTTTAATTTGATATTTAAACTATCATTTTGAAAATTGAATATTAGATATTTATAACTAATTGAATAAGAATAAAATATAAGCTTAAAATATAAATTTAGTATAATTTAACTTTATAAAATTATTTTAATACTTTTTAATTTATATAAAAATAAGTATAATTTAATATCAAATAAATAGGTTAAAATTTGATTTATAAATATTTTATAACTATATTATTATCAGATTCAGTTTCAGGTATCTATTATATTTGAATCAATTTTACAATTTATATATCTTAAAGTTTAATATTTATTTAGTTAAATTTAATAATAAACTTAAAAGTAAGTTAGTGTAAAATATTACAATTAGATTTCAAATAAGAAATAATATTAAAAGAAAAAGAATTTTTATAAATTTTAATTGATTTTTTTTTAATAATTTAAAATTTACAAAAAGTTATAAGAATTATAAAAGAGTTATTTTATAACTTAAGTAAAATATTATTTTATATATATAAAATTAATTTTCTATAGTTAATTATTTACTATACTATAAACTAATAAATATAGATATATATTATAATAAAAATATACTTAAATATAATAAAAATGATAAATATAAAATAACTATAAAAATAATAAAAATACAAATAAAACAGATATATAAACTGAAATTATTTAATTTTGACTATTTTAGATAATTAAAATAGCCAAAATAAAATTTTTTTTTTTATTAAAAATATTATAAAATCAAATATATTATGATGATCAAATACATTATGATGATCGAAATATATTATAATAATCAAAATATATTATTCTTTAAACTGTAAATATAAAATTATTTCTAAATCATTTTAAAAAATTTAAAAAATTTTAATATTTAATAATTATAAAAAAATAAAATAAATTTTTAGATTTATCATATTATAATGAATTTAATAGTTTTTTTAAACTTTTAAAATTAATAATTATTAATATATATTAATTTTTAATTTTTTAATTTTTAAAAATAATTTATTATCTAATAATTATAAAATATAAAATTTAGTTTATTAGATTTATTACATTAAAACCTATTAAATGGTAATATTTTTATATTTCTGAGATTAATAAATAATAAGATATATGATTTTAAAATTTTAATTTTTTTATAATAATTTATTATTTATTTATTTTTAAAAAATCATTAGTTAATTACATTTTTTTTTTTATAAAAGTATTGATTTTTTTAATAATATATTTTAAAATATTTAAAAATAATTAAAATGATATTAATTAATAAATAAATTATTTATAAATTTGTAAGCAAAACAATTGAAAGGATAATAAACTAAAAATTTGTAATTTTTAAAATAATTATAAATTAAAAAATTTTATTATTGACTTTTGACCATCTTATTAATATTTACTTTTAGCAATATTAATCATAATAAAATATTATAAAATTTATCATAAAGAATAACTTTAATTATTACAATTTTTATAATTTACTAAGAAATTTTATAATTTTTATTAATAGTAAAATGATTTAATTAATTTATAAATATATAATTTTAAGAAAATTTTTAAAAAATTATTATAAATTTTTCAAAACTTAATTTTAAAAATTGAATTATTTAAAAAACTTCTTAATAAACTTAAATTTTCTTCTAATAAAGTTAATAAAATACAGTCAGAGAATTTACCAAATATATCATAACGATCATTTCCTATTATAGTAATAAATTTGCCGATCAGAATATTCTAGAATACTTCAATTATGATTAGTCAAAATTACAGAATTAAAAAGTTTTAAAATATTTATTGTATTTGTATTTAATACCAATAAAATTTATAACATATGTGCAATAAAAGTAACTTTTCCAATATCTGTTTCACCAACAAGTGATTTTTCAACAGGTTGGCCAGTTATTCATAACACAAGCAAATCGTTAAAGAAATAGATATTCAAAAAGCAGATTTTGAATAAATTTGCTGTTGGATAAATTATTGTTGTGAAGAAATTGCTGTCAGAAAAATTGCTGTCGAAGTAGTCAGAAAATTGTTAGAAATATACCGCCAGAGAAATTGCTATTTGGAAAAACGCTGTCAGAGAAATTGCTGTTATTGGTGTGAAATGCCATTGGTGTAAAGTGCCATTGATATAAAATACTATTGGAGAAATGCCGTTAGAGAAATTGCTATGAGGAAATTTCTATTAGAGAATGAGAAAAAAAAATTATTGTTAGTCGTTAAATTAATTATGCGATTTGAATGTATGCTTTATATCTTGTAATATATTTAATAATTTGCTTCGTTTTTTTGATTTCAATCCAGGGTATTCTTTTCGAGCATTCTCACAATATTCAAGGAAAGTTTCGATTTTCAATATGAGTTCAGCTCTGTTCATGTTTTCTTCATTTTCTTGTGCATCCGCTTCTTATTTTGTAATTAGTATTAGTCTAAAAAAAGGAGGTAGATTTTTATTAATAAATACTTCAATAATAAAATTTTGCCGAGCCTGCTTTGCTAAATGTGTAAAGTTTTTTAAGTATTTACTCAATTCGTGATGTTCTCCTAGATTTTGACAAACTGATCTCACATTTATTGAATAGGTAAATTCAAAACTTCTTAAATAAATCTGGAATCTTTGGCATTTCATAGTAGATTCCAGTTGAGTTCTTGGTCCAGATGTTTGAAGATCATTGTAACTGATTAATTTAAATAGATTATCTCTAAGCTCAAAAAACCTTTTGCAATTACACGCAGTAACTTTCCAATGATGATACTGTAGAACAGGAGGTATTAAAGCCTTTAAAGCCTTGTTGTTTACTTCCTCAATAATTGCATCTAATCCTTAGTATTATTCGTAAATGCCTGATCTAGAA